ACTATCCAAATTGGATTGCCACATGATCATTCTAATCTATTGGCAGCAAATACTTTTAAAATTAGTCCAAAAAATTTTCCCTAGATCAGATAGGAATCTATTTGATGTTAGTATATGAGGACTATTTATCAGGAAAGTGGAAGGATTTGCTTAAGGTACTTAAGAACTTGAAACCCACTTTCCAAAAGTTCAGAACACATATTTGACATTGCTGGCAGAAATTCGATACGCAAATCTCTTTAGAAATTGTAGTAATTGTGCTTAATATTTTGATTACTTGCTCTATGTCAGACACTGTCTTATAAGCTTTAAATGAACTCACTCATCTAATTCTATTGGTCCTCTGAGGTACATACTGTTATTATTATTCTTATTTTAGAAACAAGGGAACTAAAATACAGAGACTTTAAGTGAATTTGAGCAAGATTCAACAGAAAGTTTATTATAGCACATCTTATGACATTTTCTATTTTTCACATGGTAAAAATTACCAAAAATTTAAAAAGTAAACAACTAAACCCACGTGGTCCCTCTCCCACTTTTCTGAGTAAAAGTTACTATCTGTAACTTATCTGCACCAAATAGATAAGTATATATTTGTGTACATAAATACACAATTTACAACACACATGGATTCCTACTATTAGTAATTAGATTTTTAGTATATAAACAATACTAGATATACAGATGTGCATACACACATATTCATTTTCAAACCTCTTTAACTTTATTTGTAAAATAAACCTTTAGCAATGAAATTGCTGTGTCAAGGTTTATGTGCATTGTGACAAGTATAAATTAAATAGAAATTGAAGAACTACTGACACTCAAATTATCTATAGGCTAAGAAATGCTAAAGAGCTTTATGATATTTTTTTTAAATCCTAGAAAGAGCACTGAATAAGAATTTGGGAATAAGTGGGACCAACAACATGTCTCTGCACACCCTGTTCCCTATCTCCCCTAATGCACAGCAATACACAACCAAGTCAAGTGAACCATGAAGACTGCCCAACCTCTAGGTCTTCTAGTTTCCCTTTATTGCTTAATCCATTTGTCTGCATCTTCTGTTATTTGAACAAAAAAACCGTAATATACCAAATGCCATGGAGAAGGTACTTAACTTTTCTAAACTTCAATTTTCTTATTGATAAAATGAGATCATCTAGCTATACCATCTTCAATATAGTTTCCTTTTAGCATGACATTTACCTCTCTATGACTTAGTTTACTAATCTATGAAATGGAGTTACACGTGAATATAATAGCTAATAACTGAATGCCATACAGAAGGCATTCAAATGAAAATTGCTCTTATTATTTTTGCTACTGCTTATTAAAATATGATTTTAAAAATATATAAAGTATTTTTTGAGACAAGGTCTTTCTATATAATGTGGGCTGGTTTATAATCCTTCTACCTCAGACTCTTAAGTGCTGGGACTGTCTACAGCCATACCACCCTAAATACAACTGATCTCTTCTACGTGCTGGGATTATACGTGTAAGCCAACATGCCCAGCCAGCTCCTTAAAAACCTATGAAATTTTAAAGTTCCAACTGGTATCTAATATTAAAAGCAATTTTTTAAAAATTTGTTACCAAACTTAAATTTTAACAATGATAGCTAATATTTTCTAAGTATCTAATATTTACCAAAATATAATTTAACATATGTATTAAACAATGTGATCACCATAAGAATACTATGACCCACTATAGGTCATATTATTGCCATCCACATTTTGTAGATGAAGAAATGGAAGCACATGGTGATTAAATGACTAACTCAGAGCTGGGATACAAAACTCAAGCAGTGTGACCACAGAGCCTGTGTCTCTCTCAACACGTCTGCTGTATAAATTTGTTTTTATACTGAATGGAGTGAAGTTCATATACATTTTAATTTTAAAATTCCAAATTATGTGCATCTATTCTTCAACAGGCCTTTCCCTATTCTCACTGACTACAGCTGAATCAAAGTATTTGAAAATGAACTTATTTCTGTAAGTGAGTCTTCCTATACACCTGTGTTGAAGGACTAAAATCAATATGCTAAGAGTACAAAAGTTATACAAGAACAATGATAGGAAAACGTGACTCCTTTGTAATATCTTTTAAGATGAAAATATAAGTGCCTACCTTGTTGGAAGTTAACAATGATTAAAGATCAGGAAAACATATACAAGATTAAGGAACAAAGGATAATCTAGTCATTCACACTGTATTCTCTACATACTTGCCAATAAGACCCAATTAAAAAGTAAATAGGATCCTATTACTTCCCATTCCTCCTCTACTTAAAATCCCACAATCAAAGTAGGCTTCTTACCATGACTCTAAATGAGCTTCTGCATAACTCTTCAACTCATTTTCTACTACTTTCCACATGGACATACTTTGCTTAAGCTACACTTGACTATCTTCATTGAGTATGTCATGCTCACTTCTTCTTTAGGAGTTTTGTTTGGGCTGTTCCCTCTGTCTGGAAGGGTCAAAGCTCAGCTGATCCCATGGCAGGGTCTGCTTTAGTCAGATCTCAGGTCAAGCATCTCCTTTTCTGACTCTCTTTGATTATTCCATAGGAAGAAACCCTATTTCCACAAGTCTCTCTGTATCCCATTTCCTATTCTACGGCTTTATAGTACTTGTTGCTACCTAAAATTATTTATTTATTGGCTATGTGTCTATTATCACTCTCCCTCCCAACAAAAATATAAAAATCTTGAAGCAGGGACCTTAATTATTTTTTGAACTACTCTATTATATCTAGAGCAGTGCCTGGTTATATGGTAAGCCCTAAATAAGTATGTGTTCAATGACTGAGTAAAAAGCACTGATGGATAATGAGTGCAAACTATCTTACATGTACTAGACATAGAAGATCTAATGTTATAAAGCCATAAAGGAAATAAAACAGGCTAACTACTCTGGCTCTGCTTATTCAATTTGGTTGGTAAGATGAATACAATGAACATAGGCACTTGAAAGTTTAAATGCACAGAAATGGGTAAGTTAGTAAGTATATCCCTAATGGTCTCATTAAATTAGTGCATTTTGGTAACTAATACCAAGTAAGAAGCATTCTCTGGAGGATATTTTTTTATGGTCAGCTAATCTTTCACCATTCAACTTTCCTTTTACGTATTTATAATGAAACATAATTAGAAAAGGAAGAATAACTGATAAGTAATCTTATAAACCCTTAGTAATCTAGGGGTTTCATTTTAAATTTAAAGTAATTTCATTCATTCCAGGTTAAACCAGAACATTTTTATCATTTGCTTCACTTGGGAGAAAAGTGGCCATGGAAACATTTTCATGGCATGTTCTCTTAGGAAATAGATATTTTTCATTCAGAGACCTTATAATGCGTTATAAATTTTTAATTATTAGGCCTCTGACAATCTTCAGTAAGTAAAACTATTTGAGAGTTCCACACACTTCAAAACCTATAAAAACTCAATAGTTCATACATGTCATTACCAACTATACCCCTTGTATGACACTAAGAATGTTACTGATTTTGTTATTAATGGGTTTTATCTTTTAATAAAAGGTTGCATATTTAAGCTGCAATTCAAATTGGGATAGGCAACTGAGCAGGACAGTGGTACCACCAAAACCTTAGGCAGTCTACTTCTGCATGAAAACTGCACTTTTCTTGCTACTTCTTCCAAAACATGTAAATACATGTAAAATGAAGCAAATCACATAACATCTATTATATTTTGTATTTGTGTAATACTTTTAACTGCAAAAAAGGAGATAATCAATGAAGTTTCATTCATGCATAATCACAGAAAATTTATTAAACTTTTAGACTTCAAAAGGAAACCAGTATTTTAGGCTATTAGTCTATTTTTCTGAATTTTATCTCATGTTCCAAGAGTCAATACTTTAGAGTACTTAGAGATACTCACAGTACTCTAAAATAGAGTAAGCAATGTAAAGAGGCAAAACTTACATTTTATGGAATTACAAAATAAACACTATTATTTTGATGTAAATTATAAACAGTGAATGTTTCATTCTACTTAGAAGCCTAAAAATCCCATTTCCTTCTGCCTTTCATTTTCTTTTGAATTGTCATAATGATAACTTAATCTCCCTGCTCTCTAGCTCAATACCAGGCACACAAGAAACCATCAATGCACCCTTAATTTCATGCCTCCCTGCAATCATAATCCATCAATACCAATCAACTGATTGACATCAAGAATATACTGCTTGAAAATGTCAGAATGAATCCCACTGTTATATATCATTAATATATGCTCTTAAATGCTTTTTAAAAAATATACTGATGTTCAAAGAAATCTAACAAAATAACCTAGCCTTACATATTTTTACACATAAGTATTTTTCAATAATACCTTAAAACTTCTTCCCTGAAAAATTTAAAAGGAAAAGTTCATTTTAAAAGACTTAGTTTTGCACCTAACAACTTCATCTGAATGAATTATATAAATTGTTAAATGATATTCAACATCAGTCCAATCTACAACTTATGAATTATAGTAAATGACCTACAAATTGTAATTGGACCCTATGGAGAGAAAAGTATCTAAATCAACTTTTAAAAGTAGACATGAAATATACAAATCATGATTTCAAACAAAAATATGACTGATGTACCTTTGCTGAACTTCCAAGTGCTAACAGTCCTAAAATTACAATGTCTCCATCTGTTAATCTGACATGAACAAGCTGATAAATGAAATCAGAACAACAGTGTATTCTGGCAAAACCAGAAACTTCCTAAAAACCTAGAAAAATATGACCACAACAGATGGGTCACTTAGAAAATAAATACATCAATCTGTCAAACTAAGTGCTGTTCTCTAGTTCTCTAAATTAAAACCAGCAGGAGCTCCACTTTCCAAGAATGCCAAAGAGGAAACACCTAAAGATGCACATAAACACATCTGATATGACCTCAAGTGTCATATTGTTAGGTTTCCTGTTAAAAACATACTAAATTCAGGCAAAGTCCTTACCAGTTAACTTCTTCACAGGTTGGAGCCGAACACTGATAGACTGATGTGTGAGTAAGGGGGAGGATGGAAGAGAGCGAGACATGCCCTCCATAATCCGAATGTGCTGCATACCTTCACTCACTGGAAGTGGTGGAACAGCATAGTCTGGCTCAAAAGCACAGTCGCTTTCTGTGGAGATGCCACCTGTTAATAGAAAAGCATGGTACAAAAGAGCTGTTAAGCAAAGATTCCTCTTCCTCCACTAAAATATATCTTTTAGAGTGATTCAGAACAGTGTATACACCAATGTTGATTTTCATTGTGATAAACCAAATAAAGCATTTTCAACACATACATTCATTTATACACTTACTGAGTATTCAACTCCAGGTATAGCACTAAGAAACTGGAGACCAATAAAATAGGGTTCCTTCTTATAAGGGAGCTAACCATCTTATGAGAAATGAAGTCACATAACAAAATAATTATAGTATAACACAACAACTGTTAAAATCAGAGCAATGATCTTTTTATTTTTCCTGAAGGAATGTGAAAGAAGGTATTTATCTACTTAACAATGTGGAATTGCTAGTAGAATTTTATAACTCTATTTCTTTTTCCCTTTCCCCCCCGCAAAAAAAAAAAAAAAAAAAAAACAACTACATAAACATACAAGTGGGTAAGACTGACATTATTTACAGGGTGATTCTTTGAATCAGCTCAAATCTCTTAAAAAGAATAAATTACATGATCTTGACTTCCACTCTTAGTAATAACAGATTATGTACCTCAGATCAACTTTTCCCTAAGAAAAACTAGAACTGTATGTTTTTAACAAATCTTCCTAAAGGCAGTAGAGAATTAACAGCACGATAAAGAATTACAAGTTAAAGACTGAAGCCTAGCAGTTGCTACTTTTTACTTAGTGGTACTGGAGAGGCTAAGAAGCTATTGACAGTTTTATAGATTGAAAGGACAAAATATTATAATCTACTGAAAGTCTGAAGGAGGGAAGTATGAAGGAGGGAAGCTGATAAAACTCCAACACTTTCATTCAAAGTCTGAAGAAGTAAGTAAGACTAAACCAAGACTGGCCTTTACATGCAGTAAAGCTTAGTTAAAAATATCTTCCACAAAATTTAATGAAGGCAGTATTGGACTGCTAGGACCACCCCAAACAAATACAAATCTTAGAGGAAGACATCATCATCATGGGTCTCGAATTATTTACATAATTTATCATATACAGCAAATGGCCTTTAATAACAATAACACAGATGAAGTAACTTAAAAGGAGTCAGGAAAACCATATAAACTAGAAATAGTCCTTCAGGAAATATAAAGTATGGAACAAGAAGACACAGAATTTAAAACAATGCGTTAAATATATTTAGAAAGTGAAAGTTTGTGATTTTAACAAAATTAAAACTAAAAAAATTAAATTGTAATAGATGAATTTAAAGGTAGGTTAACATAAATGAAGAGAGAATTAGTAAACTGTAAGATAAATCAGAAGAAAATATTAGAATGATGAGTGGAGAGTCAAAAGAATGGAAATGGATTCTTAGATAAATGATACCAAAAACACAGCAATAAAAGAAAAAAACTGATTTCATAAAAATAATGTTCATGAAAAGATACTATCAAGAAAATATAGCCTAGGCCTATAAACCATACTCTAGGGGTAAGGTGAACCAAATAATAAGAAAAAATAATTTGTATGCTACAAATTTGTAGACCTATCCTAGCCTGGTGACCTTAACCATGACTTTAGCCTATGGGCTGATCCTGGGGAAGGACTTAATGCTCCAACTCCCTTCAATAAAAATTTGTGACAAGGTAAACATTTAAAAAAGGAAAAGAAAACTACAACACTTACCTCTTCAACAAATGGCGAAGGGAAAACCATTTATCTTCATGTAGAAGACTGAAACCAGACCCTTATCTCTACTCCATACAAAAATCAATTCAATATGGATCAAAGATCTTAATTTAAGACCTGATGCTACTATAGGAAAACACTAGGAAGAAGCACTGGAAGATATATGCATAGGCCACTACTTTCTTCCAAGGAAGCAAGAGCAAGAAATTAACAAATAGGATTGCATCAAATTAGAAAGCTTCCGTACATCAAAGAAAACAATTACTATAATGAAAGACAACCCACAGAATGGAGAAAAACGCTTGCCAGCTATTCAAGATTCAAAGAGCTCAAAAAATTAAACATCAAAAGAACAAACAATCCAATTAATAAATGGGCAAATGAACTGAACAGACAGTTCTTAGAAGAAGTACAAATGGCCAAAATACATGAAGAAATATTCAACACCTTTAACCATAAAGGAAATACAAATCAAAACAATGATATTCCATCCTACCCCAGTCATCAAGAAAACAGACCACAAATGCTGGTGAGGATAGGGATGGAGGGAGCCCTCATACATTGTTGGTTGGCATTTGAACTAATGCAACTTTTATATGGAAGTTCTTCAAAAATTTAAAAATAGAGTGACCTTATGACTCTGCAAAACCACTCTTGGGCATATATCTGAAGAAGTCAAGTCAACATACAAGAGAGATACATACATATATCTATATATCTTTACATATATAAAGAAGATGTGACACACACACACACAACGTGCGCGCGAGTTGGAGTATTAGTCACCCATAAAAAAGAACAAAATTATGTTGTTTCCAGGAAAATGAATGGACTGGGTATCATCATATTGAGCAAGATAAGCCAAGTTCAAAAGGCCAAATATTGCACATTTTTCACGCATATACAGAATCTAGACCTAAAATGGTAATAAAAGTAATAATAATGGGACATGAAAATAAAAGGAGTAAATGAACAGGAGAGGAGAGGGGGGAAAGGAGATAACATAATGAAATACACCAAATACTGTGTAATGGTGTCAAGGGAATATAATAGAGGGGGTGAACTTGTTCACAATATGCTCTATGAAATTATCACAGTAAACTCCTCTTGTACTACTAATGTATGCTAATAAAAATTAAAATGGTGGAAAAATAAAATACAACTCTCAGAATGGGAGAAAATATTTGCAAATCATTTATAAGGGTCAAGTATGCATAGCATAAAACTCTTACAACTCAGCAACAAAATGACAACACAATAAAAATATGGTAAATAGACTTGAAAAGACATTTCTCCAAAGAAATAGGAAGTGTCCATGAGCAAATGAAAATATGCTTAACCACCATTCTAGAAAAGCAAATCAAAGCCAAAATGAGATACTACTTTAGATACTACTTCATACCCACTGAGATGGGTCTAATTTTTTAAAAAGACAAAAAAATGTTGGTGAGAATGTGAAGTAATTAGTTCCCTCATACACTGATGGTAGGAATGTAAGTGGGTGCTGCTGCTCTGTGAAACAAGTGATCCCTCTAAAATTAAAACACAGAATTATCATATGACCCAGCCCTTCCATTCCTGTGTATATACCTCAAAACACCACAAACAGGTTTTCAAGCAAAAACTTGAACGTGAACATTCATAGCAGCATTACTCATAATAGCCAAAATGTAAAAACCATCTAAATGTCATTAACTAATGAACAGATAAATAGGTAGTATATCTATACAATAGAGTATTATTTAGTCATAAAACAAATGATGGCTTGATTCATGCTACAACAAAGAAAAATCTTGAAAACATAATGCTAAGTGCAAAAAGATAGTCACAAAAGGCCAGGTGTTACATGATTCCATTTATATGAAATGTTTAGGAGAAGCAAATCTAGGAAGACACAAAGTAGACTAGTGTTTTCCAGGAGTTAGGAGGAAGACAGAATGAGAGTAACTACCTAAAATGTATGAGGTTTTCTTTCAGGGTAAATTACAGTAATGTTTGTACCATAATAAATGTACTCATAGCCACTAAGAGTACACTTTAAAATGGTCAATTTTATGGTATGTGGATTTTATCTCAAAAATAATTACATATTTACCACAACCACAAATTTATTCAATCTAGAATGCAACAATGCGTTATCAGTTCTGCAGATCATCAACCCAAAATACATTTCAAATCTGCCATATTCTTTCTCTCTACTTCTTCCTACCACCACCTTAGTCCAGATAACTATTAATCTTCCTCCAAACTTCTGTTGGAGAAACCAAAAATTTATCCCTTATTCTTGCATTTTAGAAATTTCACTAGGATATGTCTTAACTTTTTCCTTTTCTTGGCCCTTTGGTTACTATGTTAGCTAATTCTTCTCTTCCAGCTATCCTTTTCTCTGTTTCTGGAACTCTGATCAGATATCTTATCTCCAAGACCATTTTTCAAGTCTGTTTCTCATAACAGATTTCTAATCATTAGGCTTTGATGAATAGATAAGATTTATTTATATGGAACTATAGTACTCTATGGACTTATACAGAAAGAGACAAACCATTAGTGTAATTCCCTAACTAAGGAATGCCTTTATTGAGGAAAATTCAATGTTAGATTTTTTCAAAGCAATATATCTAAAAGAATGAATTTGATTTAGTGAAGTACCACTTTTCATTTGAATTTTTCCACAGTTAAAAATTAGCTGATAATTTTAGAATCTAGTAATACTCCTTAAGGAATCATACTGCAATTAGTCCAGTTTGGTTGTCCTAGTTCACTTTTCTGCTTAGAAACGTTTTCTTCCATCATCTCTGTCCTATAAATTGTGTTTGAACTCACTAATGCTATTAAGAGAAGTATAAACCTCAAGTAAAGAAATGGTGAGCATTCACAGATTATGATTGTATATTAGTTTCTCTTTGGTAACTAGCAAACTTCAAAATCTCAGTAGTTTACAACAGATTTGCTTTATGTTCATGAGTCTGCAGATTGTGGTTCAGCTGGTTTACAATGGATTTGAAAGGGATGGGTTAGATTTATAGTCAGGTTCAGAACCACACCCATGTGTCTTTAACACTGGGCCCTTCCACAACAGCGGCAAGTGAATACATGGGGCATGCTCTTATCATAGTGGATCAGAGGAGCACAGAAGGCTAAGTTAAATCACAGCAGCACATACAAGACACTGGAACAAGCAAGTCAAGCAGTCAAGAATAGTGGTAATGGGGAAGTAAAATATACTTGGCCCATACTAGTGGGAGCTACCACAACACTGGATAGCAAAAGGAATGGGTGTATAATTTTGTAACATAAAGGAAATTAAAAAAATTGGGAATCC